TAACTATGACATACATATACAACAAGATACCCAAAAGTATAAACGTTATGAATAGAAGTATTGCCAACACTATTATGAGTATTAGTTCCAAATCGGATACTTTTGAGTCGACTTTTAAAACAAATTGCAAATACAATTATGATAACATTCAAAGTGTTGAGTGAGTGCTTAAGCATGTAATACTAACCACTTGTCACATTTTTATCAAGATAAATCTCATACAAATCTATATCACCTTGTTCATTCCCTAATACTATTCCTAATTTGTATTTAAATTTGGGTTCCAATCCATCAAAGATTACGGTCGTTGTGTTCATTTGTTTCCTATATTTGTTCACTATATCTGGTGTCGGAGCTTTAAACCAACTTCTGATTGAGTCTTTGATGTCATCATCTCTGCTGGAAATGTCTTTAGTGATCTTATAGGCCACTAACCACACCCTATGCTTCCTAAAGAATTCACGGGAACAGTGGGACACATCCACCTTAATAGTGCCCACACGAACCAGTTCCACCTCAACTGTACGAGATAATAGCATACCGGCGTTATGTTAATACAAAGTTTTTCTTACATTTAATCATTTAAATCATTAGTTTTTATTTACATTTATTATCCTCAATACATTCACTTTTGTCGGAATCGCGCGATTCTTCGCAAAATACTTTATAAGAAAAATTACATTTTTATCAAAACAATTTACATTTCAAATGATATAATACTGACCAAGAGATAGTAATACAATACCAAGACCCGGATGGGAGTGGACGACGCCTTCTATACGTTAGTCCGAGAAATACGCAAAGATAGGGACCGTAAGGGAAAGGACAAGAAGAAGCATCAGGGAAGCAAACGCAAGAAGAAGTGCATCATTTGTTAGCTACTAATCCGGTTATGGATACAACACATGACAATAATCCACTCGTTATTGTTTTTGTTTGATTACCCGTTAACCGACTCATTACGTGACCACTTCTACCAATCGGATTGATTTAATCGCAAATTTATAATATAATTGATTAATTAATTGAATATTGAATCGCAAAAAGGACTCAAATTTTTTTAGATGAGTTTATTTACCCGTCGATACAATTACTCAACATTTAATATATAATTTTTCATACGCCTCAAGGATATTTACCCAGAAGTTTTAAATTTATAACATATTATATAATATCTTATAAGTGATACGACAAAAAATACATTTATTTTTAATCCTTTTAAATGACGACAATTTTCTCGATTTAATAATCCTTTTATTGTCAGTTAATTAACGATTTATATATATCTCAAAACAACTTTTACTTATCCTTTAAATACAAACGAATTCTTAGTTAATAATATAAATAACAATAAATTAAAAACAAATTATTATATATTTGTTGATAAAGAGACACAAAAACATAAGAAATTAATAAATGAATTGAAAACTAGAGACCAAACGAATTGAATTAATTATTTGGTGACAACAAAATGCAACGAATCAATTGAGACGAGATTATCACTTGAAGTTGGCATATGTGTCAAAGTATTGTAGATAACTAATGGCCAATTGATGCAAAAACTTGTACTGATCCTATAATTAACAAATTAACAATCAATTAATTAATATCAATTCAAATGAACATCTCTTCCAAACAATCTGTTCTGCCCCTCGTTTTGATATATCAATACATTTTAATAACACATTAATAACTAATACTATTTGTATGATAACACGATAACTCACCAAATCAGTGATGAATTGGGGTCTATTGGTGCGCACGGTCTGCACCGCCAGGAATACGTCGACCTCCTGTTCCTCTTTAATGCGGTCGCATTCAAAACTGGTCGCACAGAAGACACCACTCGCTTGATTGCCATCGCTATGTGTGTCAACACAACTCATTACAACTTCAAACTACTAATAAGTTAATTGTTTCTAATAAAGCGTTTAATAATTATATCGTTTTCAATATCAACTCTTATATACAGTATTAACACTTTGTTTTCGTTGCCAATGACCTGTTAATGACTAACAAAATACTTACAAACACTGGACGACAATACTATTAGCGTTGGACTGAAGATTCCACGATTCCATCATTTCCATCAAATCGATGACTATCTGCGCCGATGAGGGCTTGTTCACCATCGATGGCCAGCCCTTCAGATGAAACTGTTTAACAGTTGTGTCATTCTGTGGCAAATGAAACACACGAATCGTCATATTGTTGTGATTTTCTTCGCTGATCAACTGAACAGTCTGTTTGTTGTCGGAGAAGTCCAACTGTTTGTTACTCATTGTCGGCCAATACTTATATGAATGAATAAATGAGACAAAAAAGAATTTGTTATTTTAAAAAATCCAAGATTTAAAGCATTCACTCGAAAAAGATTTGCGAATCAATTAATCAAAAAGTGAACTAAATATATGAATAATTAGTGGAAATGGGCGCACAATTTGGTTGTCATGTTTGATATCATTGAGCAGAACAATGGTTTTGGTTGAAGTCGATGCTATCATCTGCCAGAAGTGGGATCGACTCGACTCTAACGGTACTTGAGTTACGATATAAGCGTCGCGTCGTTTGTAACCCTATATTTGGATAAATTAAATACTTTTTAAAAATAATGAATGCAATCATATGTTTATTATACAATAACTCATTAATTCATTACTTAATTAACTTTTATCTAATCGTTTCCATTAATACTATTCAAATTTTTTTGTCAATTATTTGTTATAAAAATGAATAAATAATAGATTAAATTGAAAACCAATGCTTACATTGATGTAAACGGCATTTATATAGTCATCACTTCCCGGGAGGATAACCCGCGCGAAGTCGGCTTAAGAGTTGAGATTAAGGTTTGATATGATTTAATGTATTGTCAATTATATGAGGATTAGTTAACTCACGGGGTATTATGTCTTGGTTTCTATTGAGATGCGGATGTGCTCTCGCACTTTGACACAACTCCGGGCTCATCACTTGTGGCGATAGTTTGTTAAGAATCTGTTTTATTGTCAGAAATTTTTGATTTTATCATTTGAACGCCAATTCTCTCTCTCTCATAATCATATATAAAAACCTGAAATTGTTTCAATAGAGGCAACGATTTATTGTTATTGTCGTAATTAATCAGTTTAGTGAAGTAGTTATGAAAGTCATTGCATGCAATGCTTGTGGGCTCGTGTGATAGGGCCTCCAGGAGCGCCTGGTGTACAAACACATACTGACCCAACTTCTCCACCAAATTGATCCGCTGTTGTCTGATTACACAGAAGTGCTTCAACACATCGATTTGTTTCTCGTTTTGTGCCATTTCCAGCATAGCGTCAATCAATATGAAAGTACCGGTGCGACCGACACCCGCCGAGCAGTGAACTACAATAGGCTGTGAGGGCTTGTAGTGCACTGACGATCGCATTCTTCGTATGAATGTCAGCAAAGAACAGGAATACATGGGAACGGTATGATCTGGCCATGAGATAAAATGGTACTGGACTATTTCTCGCACAACTCCATCCTAATTGATTTGCAAATTCAATGTTTTCATTCATTCAAAAACTTTAACTTTAAAAGAAGAATATTTTGTTCAAAATTCAAACCTTTTCAGCAGAAAACGAGCGAATGATATAATCGGCAAAAATCTCAGTTTTGGTCAAGGTCAGTTTAATATTGCCATAAGTGGTCACCTGTTCCGTCCAATACTTGTCACACTTATTCTATTCGTTAAAATTAAAAAAAACTATTAATTAGCCTATAATTACATAATAAGTTCATACTATTACTATTACTAGTAACTGCATACCTTTCCTCCCTCATCAAGACTAGTAAGCATCACAATTTGATGACTGTCCAACTGCCAGATCATTCTCCACATATCATTAATAGTGGAGGGAAGGGGTCCCTGAGTGGCCACATAGCGATTGTTGCACTTATAGCCGTCGACAAAGTTTGCATTAATATAATCGGTGTTAGAGTCGCCGTCAATGATGTCGAGGACAACCCTCGAGTGGTCGTAAGGCAATAGATTTCCGTAACGATTCTTAGGCTTGTGTTGGACTTGTTTGCCATAATCCCATTTCATGAGTTGTCCCCTAAACACACTCATGAACTCCTGTTTTAAGATCCCATTCTCTATCATCATAGGAATGGTATCACTTAATTCAGACAAATCTATTGAATGCGATTTTATCTCAAATTCTTGCTCGTGAAACGACCCGAACGATAGGGTAGAGCACCGGTAAGACTGATCATATGCTAGGCCTGCAAACAATTTACTCATATTATAATGTTTTCAATAACTTAAGCGATGTTTAGGCAATATTTTTAATAAAGCTTTTAATGGGACTAATAATGATTAATATTATTTCAGGTGTTATTTCTATAGGATGTGTGGAAATTGTTTGTTTCAATCAAATAATTGCCATTTCATGCCATTATGATTAAACAGTAATGAGTATGAAAATTGGTAATAAAACAAAAGCCATACCATTGGCGTTGTCTCTCCTCAACAGTTGTCTTCCACTATCGCTTTTACTCCACAATAGGAATACATTCTGTAAACGATTTTCTCCCGAATAGTTTCTATGAGTTTGGAAATTATTTCAATCATACCTCAAACTTATAATCAAATTAATAATAACTATGACATACATATACAACAAGATACCCAAAAGTATAAACGTTATGAATAGAAGTATTGCCAACACTATTATGAGTATTAGTTCCAAATCGGATACTTTTGAGTCGACTTTTAAAACAAATTGATATGTTTTTGTGTCTCTTTATCAACAAATATATAATAATTTGTTTTTAATTTATTGTTATTTATATTATTAACTAAGAATTCGTTTGTATTTAAAGGATAAGTAAAAGTTGTTTTGAGATATATATATAAATCGTTAATTAACTGACAATAAAAGGATTATTAAATCGAGAGAATTGTCGTCATTTAAAAGGATTAAAAATAAATGTATTTTTTGTTGTATCACTTATAAGATATTATATAATATGTTATAAATTTAAAACTTCTGGGTAAATATCCTTCAGGCGTATGAAAAATTATATATTAAATGTTGAGTAATTGTATTGACGGGTAAATAAACTCATCTAAAAAAATTTGAGTCCTTTTTGCGATTCAATATTCAATTAATTAATCAATTATATTATAAATTTGCCATTAAATCAATCCGATTGGTAGAAGTGGTCACGTAATTAGTCCGTTAACGGGTAATCAAACAAAAACAATAACGAGTGGATTATTGTCATGTGTTGTATCCATAACCGGATTAGTAGCTAACATATGATGCACTTCTTCTTGCGTTTGCTTCCCTGATGCTTCTTCTTGTCCTTTCCCTTACGGTCCCTATCTTTGCGTATTTCTCGGACTAACGTATAGAAGGCGTCGTCCACTCCCATCCGGGTCTTGGCCGACGTCTCGACGAAGGGAATGCCATAATTCTTGGCCACTTCGTTGGCGGCCCTCATGTCGACCGCACGGGTCGGCAGATCGCACTTATTGCCCACTAATACCATCGGCACGTCGTCCGCGTCTTTCACGCGCTTTATCTGCGATTAGCGTTAATCTCGTTATCACTACTTATCTCTTGGCGTGTAATAAGACTTAACTCATAGCCTATTCGTGTCAATAGTAATGAGATTTATATTCTTATATAACTTGTAAATAAAAATAGTTTTTCTAATTATTTGCGTCTATTATATGACTACATATTTAAACCACCGCTTAATTTATAGCCCTTTCATAAGCTTTATTTGTTTAACTCATTGTGTTTTATAGCGTATAAGTGTGTCACCAATGATCACATACCTGTTCCCTATACATAGAGATGTCTTCAAAAGACTTGGCATTGTTTACGGCAAACACTAATAGGAATCCCTCTCCGGTTCGCATGTATTGGTCTCTCATTGCGCTGAAGAGTAGACAATCCATCGGTTAATTCAGACATTTAATGGTAAACCCAATGCAAACACTTCACAGACCTGTACTCCTCTTGTCCGGCGGTGTCCAGTATATCGAGAAGACATGTCTCGCCGTCGATCACCACTTGTTTCCTATACGAGTCCTCTATAGTCGGGTCGTATTCATCAACAAAGCTGTGGACCAGACAAAGGCAGTCAATACAAGAAGTGGTGGAAGTGTTTGTGTGATACTCACTGATTCTGAATCAATTGTATAGTTAAGGCACTTTTGCCAACGCCTCCGGCTATGGGAACAGACAATCATAGTGTTAGATAAGAGACCATTCATTGATATATAGGAGTGGTAATGGAGGGCATGAGAGGACAGGGAGGTATGGGAGGTGTGGTACTGACCGCCGACAACGACCAGCTTGTATTCGGTCATAATCTCTGCATTTCTGTCCACCATATGATTCAATACTCTATACACCAGTCATCCACTAATCAATTGATACCCCGTTTGGTCACAAATTCTTGGGTTTCAATGCAATTTCCAATAAACACTAAAATGACAAACAATTTGAACACAAAAAATACAATTGAGTTGTGATATGAAGATAGCAGTCGTGTGTTAACTGTAAGACCAATGCATATATCAATTGAATTGCTGTCAACACTACTGTCGATATGAATAGCAATTAATTGGAAATGAAATGAATATTTCAATTGAAATGTAATTGTTTTCTCGAGAATTATAACTATTTATTACTATTTATCACTCTTTTCATAGACTACCAGTGCTATGAAGTGTTCATAAATTACACGCTCTCTGTGGGGAACGGGATGTGTATGTATATATGGAAAGCTGCACTTTTAGCATAGCCTAGAATATGCAATATTCTCGTGTATTTTAAATGAGTTTTATAAAGTTTTTAAATCATTGAAAATCGATTCATCATTATATAAGTGTCTGTAAAGGACTGCAGATATATTTCATGCTATGATACGATTATACGGTAAACATGTTTGTGTCACTCAATGGCTAATCTAATCAAATAAACACTGATTTAATGCTAAAGAGTTTTATTTTGTCACAAAATCTCAATAATTTGGTTTAATTTATTATTTAAATTCTTAGTGTTTTATCTGTTTATTGATTGCATTACACACTCGTATGGGTTGTAATCACATGTAAACAATCGATAGTATTATAGTTTCTGAGAAAAATATAGTTATTTGCAGTGAAAAGAGTTATGATGAGCGCACCTGCACTGCAATCCCTGTCCAATATAGTGATAGTGTGTTGTGTTTTCAGGTGTGTTGACTCTACGCAAGGGATGCCTATCATGTATACGTATTTTATTAACATTAAAACACTTTACAGTAGTCATATATGCAGTGTATGCCTCATAACAATGGCATTTAATATTATAGGGAATTGTAGCCTGCACTACCTGTGCTTATATCACAGCAATGTAGGGTAGGCTATAGTAGGGTAGGCTATAGTAGGGTAGGCTATACGCTGTGCTGTGAAACAGTGCCAAACATTTGAGAGAAGAGAGCGGTTAATGAGATTTGGAGTCCATTTGGAGACACTCTCACTGTATTAGGAGATAGCGTTGGACACGGAGTGGGAGGGAGTGGGAGAGTAAGTGTCGGAGGAGGGGGTCATAAAAACATCTTTTGTCCATTTGAGCCAAACGTTTCCAAAGCACAGAACAGACTCTAAAAGTTTTGGAGACCAAAAGAGACCTAAACTTGAGCTTTGAATGCATGGATGAGTGCATTAGTTATATGACAGGGAATACACTATTCTGTGGTAGAGTTGCAACTCTAGCAGTGAGTGCACAGAATAATGCAATTCTAATGATTAGAGCAATAAATGCAATATAATAGTCATCTTTAATTTCATTGCAAATTGCATTTATCTCATATTTATAGCAATCAATGCATTTCCTACACAGTTTGTGCACAAATCGCTATTTTATAGCGTATTCACCAATATATTCACAAAACCTTTTCTATTTTTGCAAAACTTTTTGTGTTTTCGTTGGCTTTTCTTTAGAGGAAGGACTGAAAGACAGATAAAAGCCGTTAAGAGAGTAACGAATTGAACGACTGGTGAGTGAAAGGCAGTTGAGTTGAGGCCCGGGTTTGCCTGTAATGTGACTATAGATGAGTGAAGTGTTGTTTAAGTAATAGTGGGGACAAAGTTCGCCAAACAAGAAGTTGGTTATAGTATACAGCACTGGATGTTATGGCATACGAGTGCTCTGACTATAACTAATTCTACGCTACACTCGTCTATAGAAATGTATAGCAATGCCTCACAATAACAGGCATAGGAGATGGCATAGGAATAGGATAGTGGAGGGCAGGCAGGGAAGGGAGGGAAGGGAGGGACGGGACAACTTCCAGAACAAGTGCTCCAATGCTGGTCTCCTTTCATATCTGCAAAAGTCTTTACAACAGACTTGTGTTGTGTTGACTGAACTCCAACTGAAATGAGTTCTTCTGCACAGCATTTGTGACTCGTTTCACGTTTTCGTTTAGATTTTGTGAAACTTGTGTTGAAGTCGTTATCAGCACTGAAGTTAAGAAAAGTGCAAAAACTCTGTTCAGTAGACAATCTGTTGTCCAGATGTAAACATAGACCGCGATTTGGCTATTGTTTTGTCCCTCTTATCCCTCGGTCACCGCAATTGTCTTCAGTTTTACTCATTAAACAACCCATGAATGCATCGTTTGTGAACTTTTCCAATCAATACATCGATTAATACTCGATTTGAATCACAGTTTTCTATACAATATATGATGTATGATATTCTTAAGTAGTGTTCACTCCTTGCGAGTGCTATGTATTTGTAATACACACCCAATTCATACCTTCAATTGAAATCCTTTTTAATAAATTGATACTTCTATGCAATTAATTGAATGTGTGCTAAGTTATAATAATGTTATGATAATCGTTTGGTAAAAAGAAATACAAATTGCTATATGTTTTGATTTGTGTAATAAGTTTTAAAAGTGAGCCAAAATAGAGTCCATTCATTGGATACATAAGAATATGTTAATCCAAACAAAGTTGCATTTATTGCATAATTATGTGCTTATTATTTGCATTTGTCTCGCAATCGCTTCCAATACTAACTGTGAGTATAAAATAAATTGATGACATATTTATAGATGTGGAGTAATAGCACTATTCATATGAAGCCAAACTCGTATCCAATTTACGAGCGAAATATCGTATGACTATTAAAACTAAGACTAATGTCTCGTTTGTGTGTCCATACAGTTGTGGAGCGGTATTCGCATTCTGGTGTCACATACTATCAGCAATTGATGTTTGATGTACACAACTATCAGCTCATAGTTGGCGCCCGGTATGTATGTCCCGACCCTTATCTCGACTTCATTTCGGAGTTCGCTTCCAACCATTCAAATTGCAAATGCATTACTATTTTTGCTGCTTATGTGCACTCAATCACAGCTAATGAGCGATAAATGTTATAATAAAAAAGTGAACACAAATATTATTGAATTCAAATGACATGTATATCAGTGTTTGTTTAAGGGAATGGGCGCACAGGCACCCGACTCCACACACCAACTGGCCTTCATATGACAATCCGCTTAATTTCTGATGATTTAGTTCTCGAAGACATTTATTTATGAATTTATTTCTATATTTTTTAAAAGCTATCATATCTTTAAGTGATTTCTTACATAAAGTGACAGCACTTCCATAGAATTGAATATCTGTTCAAATAGTCGTTAAGTAAATAATATATCAAATGAGATATAATTCGAGAGCAATAGATAAGACAGTACTGTATATAACAGTGTTGTAAACATTTGGCCAAAACTTTAACTTTGCAACCAATACTTGTGCAGATGAGCTCCTGTTCTCTCTCTCTCTCTCTCTCTCTCTCTCACTTACTCACTCACTTACTCACTCACTCTCTCTCCCTCTCTCTCTCTCTCTCTCTCTCTCTCTCTCTCAAATGCAAAATGTATTCAAAATAACGGATCGTATTTCAAGAAATTGTAGTCAATATAGGCTTAACTCTAATTTGTCTCACTTTTCAAACCTCTAATTACTTAAACAGAAATGTGTGCCCAAAAAAAGTTTGCGCCAAAAATATCTCTAATCATAATAACGGCTCGAACTGAACTTTTATATAATCTGAAAATAATTGCAATTTTTATTTCCAAAATGCATTTAAAAAACATATGAGTTGTGAATCTTGTGAACATAAAATTGGTTTCGCTTTGGAGAATAACATCTATTATAGAGAATACAGTATTATGGAAGTGCTATTAAAAATGTATGACTTCTTTACGCCTTAACCCTTACCACTGAATAACCCCTCACTCTCTGTGCGCTCAGCCCTGACAGAGTGTCCCGTATTATAAGTATTATAAGAGTACCTCAAAAAAGTAATAAAACGAATGAACATTAATAATAGAAAAAGGATTTTCTCTGATCCCTGTGGGCCTCACCTCACTCTTATAATAGCCAAATGTGAGCCCAGACCAGAGAGAGAGGGAGAGAGAGAGAGAGAGAGAGAGAGAGAGAGAGAGATAGTCTTGTCCTTCACGTGTCAAAAGCCAATTCACAATAAATCTGAAATACATTGCAAAGAATAGGTCCCACTTTTGGCTATATTTTGTGTATTTGTTTGGGTGTAGTATTGAAGTGAACACTAATTTTCTATAAATTATAATCACTTTTTAAAACAGATTTCCCCCAAAAAATATTTTCTTTAACGAGAATTTTGTTATTACTGTTTCGTTGACCCCGATCTGAATTAGCACTTATTTACACAACATTTTCCCAATTCTTACACAACTTTTGTAGAGACTATTTGGTTCGCGTGGGTTTAGACAACTTTCAGACCTCCCGACCCGAAGCCCACTATATCCCCGCCGACGCTGACAAACAGAAACTATGCGAAAGGAAAGGCATGAAGCGATGGCAGTGCCATAATTACATCACTGTCCTCCTACCCATCACTGCCACCAAACAGGTGCTCGTCTGCGGAACCAATGCTTTTTCGCCCGAATGCGAGATCAGACAGTTGTTGAGCCTGTCGTCGGTCATCAAACGCGAGTCCGGCGTCAGTAAGAGTGCCTTCAGTCCCCTCTGGAATACCAGCGCTCTGTTGACCCAATCGGGTGACTACTTCTATGCCGGACCTCTTGACTTCAGGGGCATCGATGCGGCCATCATTAAGCACGATAACAATCCATTGTCTACACAGTCATCACTATTGGCCACAAGTAATCCTAATAAGAAACCAATCCTCAGAACAATTCAGTCGGACTCCAAGTGGATCAATGCGGACGCAAACTTTGTCTATAACTTTGAGTACGAAAGTCATATATACTTCTTGTTTCGGGAATCGGCCGTTGAATACATAAATTGTGGGAAAAAGATATATTCCCGGATCGGTCGCGTCTGCAAGAATGACATCGGAGGACAACTCTATTATAAGGAGAACTGGACTTCGTTTATGAAATCTCGTCTAAACTGTTCGATACCCGGATTATTCCCCTTTTATTTCGATGAACTCGAGTCCGTCGATTGGGTCGAAACCAATGACGTGCCCACACTTTACGCCACATTCAATACTCCTGAGTATGGCTTACATTCAATTCAATTGATTGAAACATGATTTCTAATATTTTATTGTATGCACTCAACAGGAACTCTATCCACGGCTCAGCCATCTGTGCTTTTCGTATCGATTCCGTGTTGTCTTCATTTCACGGACACTTCAAACAGCAGAAGAATACGGACTCCATTTGGGAGAGCTCTCAGGCCAACAAAGATATCTTCGAGTGTCAGACAACCAATAAAAACATATCAGAATTGCATTCAATCCAGAGATTGAACTCTCAGTTCCAGTTAATGGATTCGGCCGTTCAGTCAGTTAATGGCAGACCATATGTGGTAGAGACCGACAAACACTTCCAATTCATAGCCGTCGATGTCATTCAAAGCAAATATCATAACTCTGTTGAAGTGATTTTTGTGACCACAACGGAAGGGGTGCTCATGAAGTATGTGCGCTGGCCTTTCGCCACTAAATCATGTCTTATAGACCAGATTCGTGTCATTTCCAACGCAAGCAATGACTCCATTCTGTCGATGAAACTCCTGAGAGACACTCAATCACTATATTTGGGAACAAAACAAGAAATTCTTCGCATATCTGTTGAGCGCTGCCATACATTCTCAGACCAAACTCAATGTCTATTAAGTGGTGATCCGTATTGCGGTTGGGATCAGTTGAAAATGGCCTGCACTACAGCTCCGGGACGTAATCCTCAGTCACAGGAATGGATTCAATCGGATTCCACACAATGTTACGAATCAAAGTCCAATCAATGGAGTGATTGGTTTGAATGCAATCAAATGAATAAAACTTTAGGCGATCAGTGCTTATGTCGGATGCGGTCATGTTCTCCATCCACTTATTCCAGTGATTTCTGTATGAATGGCAAAGAAATACAGGTCACTAACTGTACACAACACGGCGGGTGGACTGACTGGTCCCAGTGGTCAACGTGTAGTGCCACGTGTGGAACGGCTAACAAATACCGATACCGCAAGTGTTCATCCCCTGCCCCAGCTTTTGGGGGCCGTAATTGTCGAGGTGTTGAAAGAGAGGTAATTGAATGATTAGTTTTAGAGATTTATCCAGAAATTAATTAAATTATGATTAAAATAGTCGATTCCGTGCGTAAACCAACCTCCCTGTGTGAACACAACCCTCACTCAAGAGCCTATAAAGCCTGCGAATCAATGGTCCGATTGGTCTGATTGGGAGGTGTGTTCAGCCAAATGCGGGGGTGGAGTACAGTTACGGCGCCGTCGGTGCGAGTCGACCAACAAATTCAAGGCATGTATCGGTTGTGATGTGGAGTGGCGTCTATGCAATCGACACGATTGTGGCGAAAGTAAACAACAGTCCGAATGGACGGATTGGCTCATCAGGAATGTGACCGCCGATGGAGTCAATGAACAGAGATATCGCTTCGTTTGCCGCACAGAAGGCTATTCGGCGCACGTGTCCACACGAATGGAGGAGCGCTTTGTGCCGACAAATAATGTTTGGTCGCAATGCTCTGATCACTCGTGTAATGGCTTTCAGTTTAAGTGGAATGGCAATCATTTTATTAGGTAAACACGGCTCCATCACTTTTTTCAATGTACCTGTATTCAATATTTGACAAGTTTACTAATTTGATACTTTAATGATTTCATAATAGCCGTGAATGCGCTGCAACGCAATGTCAGGGTTGGTCCCAATGGTCACAATGGACTCAATGTGTTTATGGCAAACAGAGCCGATCCCGAGAATGTCTCGGAGCTGACAGATGTAGCGGTCATTACAAGGAAATGCGTTATTGCAGTCAAACTAACAACTACTTAGCCAATAATGACAATACAATGAATGAGATACCAGTCTTCAGAAAGTCCACCTCTTCTACAGAAGACGAGTCGAGTGATCAGAGCTATAGTCTCCAGAAAGTGGTGTTCGTATCGTTGCTGTCGTTTGGTTGCGGAGCTGTAATCAGCGGACTATTCATATATTTATTGCTCACCAAAAACGAGCGAATCCGAGATATGAGACATCAAAGACTTAATTTAAGACTATTCTCGTCGTTCAAGTCGACGGCTAATGCATACGAGTCGCCCCACGACTACAAGTCAAACCAATCAGTCTTATCGCCACTCAATAGTATTAGTCCCGTAAGAGAGGCCACAATCAAAAGGAGTTCCACAATAAGAGCTCAGTTGCATTCCGACCAAAATTTCTGATACAAAATAACTTAAACTATACTTAATTACAATGAAAAATACAAAATTTAATGGACTCTAAAGATAATTGATCTCAACTCAAACCTAAAGAAACGCATATTTATATGTATATAATGACAGCTATTTATTCCGGTTGAGAATGAACTGCCAGTCCATACAAAGAAGTCAAAGAAGTTGTACGACAGAGTCGTTGAGAGCCTATGGGTTGCAGACAATGAATGAGACGAGAGTTGAATTCTGCGGATCAAAGAAAAGTACATAATTTGATGAACAAAATGAATGAGAGCTCCAGAACTTGTCATTATATCATACATTCAACCGCTTTGTATATATCACATAATGTGCCATATTTTTGTAGTTCTTGAGATTCGCATTTTAAATGAACTTTTTTATGAAATTCCTATTTTATATATAAAATTATTGTAAATAAGAGTGAAATAATTTATTAATTTTAATAAAGACTAATAATTATTAAAGAATACTTTTTATTTTATTATGTTTTTCCGATTCTCATTTATTTGAATAAATGAATATTATTTACTGACGAGTATTTGAATTACTTTTGTGAATAATAATAAAGTGAATAAGCTGTAATCTAGCTAGAGCCAAAATAATATCAATTAAATTCCAATACAATATTCATTTGATTGGTAAAACCAATTACAACAAAATATATGAATTATTAGCAAACCTTTAAACTCTAAAGTTTAGAGGGATATCAATTTGAAACTTATTTGATGTCAATTGTAGAGAAATTAACACAAATTCTTGTAATACTTGTTTGTCTTAAAATGGATGAGTACAAGAACTGGTTAAATGTATCTAAATTACAATATTTTTAACATTAACTAAATTATAAACTTTACGCATGTAAACAAAATCTCCTTTTGGTGATTAGTAATCACTGATTACCCTGATAAGTGATCATTGATAAGATATTCCGCACATATCACACAAGTTTATGTGAGAATATTGATGCGCCGATTCTGGCGTAACGTTATATGTGAACAGAATGATAATTACTGAGCGTTTGGTGAAATAATTGTATGAAAGATATGTTTTGACAGCTTTTGGACTAAAAGTAAATAATAAACAAACGATTCATTCATTCATTGAAATGTCAATTAAATACTCATTGAATTCATTGAACGCATCGTTTCGATGACTAATCCAATACTCAGTCAATGGATGGCAACTGAACGCCAGTTATGAATGCATTTGATGTCGTGATTAGTGTCCATCAGATCCACTGATAGCTTCATACCAGTGATGCCAACCATCGCACGAAGACATGAGATATAAATTTGAAATCATTTTATTGTTATTTATATTAATTTATTACAAGACGTGTCACTCATTCGACCGAAGATGTGATAAACAAAGTAACGAATCGGTGGTCAATGGTTGCGGTGAAGACCAGTCCTTCAATGGATCGGATCCGCGGTGTGATCGGAGGCAATGGATGGCCTGTTATGCGGAGTGTCAGCCCCGAGGGCTTGTGGTGAATGCCTCTCGAGGATGGTTTGGCACAGACTTGGGTGCGGAGGGCAGTGCCGGCCATTCGCCGCACTATTGTCTCTGGATTTTGACAACTCATCCGCTTTTGGACGCAAACACTCTCTTCTCGTCGAAAGCGACGACGCGATCCATTTCCAGACCAACCAATCCCTCCATTCCTGCCATAAGTGTGATCCTCGAGAAGGGAATGCGAGTCGAGTGCCCGCACTCTCACGTCCAGGTCTTCGACGGCGTCCCCGACTTTGTGGCCGCCGGCGCTCTCAGCAAAAAACTGGGCTTTTATTGCGGAACTGATCTCAAACAAGACATACATTTAGTGGCGTTTTCGGGCTTTTTGACCGTTTTCTTTGAACGCCACGATCCCAACCAAGGCTTCAACGCCTCGTACGTCCGGTTGGACTGCCATTCCTGTCACTCATTCAAAGACAGACAGTGTTTAGACAATCAGTGCGTTTGTGTGGACAACAAGATTGGCTCCAATTGTGAAGTGAATGTCTGTCCCAACAACTGTTCGGCTGATAGGAGTCAGGGAACATGCGATCAGATGAACGGCCGGTGCGTCTGTATGCCTAAGTATGGCGAAGAGGACTGTTCCCAATCGCTGTCCGCCAATCGTCTCATTTGGTCGACTCTATTCAACTGCGAGGCCGCCAAACCCTATCTGCCGACGCTATCCATGTATTTGCCGCGAATGGGACACACGTTAGAGAGCACTGAGTCGTCGCTGTGGCTGTTCGGCGGCTACTCCAGCATAAGGGGACAGTTGGGCGATATGTTTAGATTCAATTTGATATCTTCGCGATGGGAAGAGATCGGATCGAATGGCAAACCAGATAAGGATAGTCCCCGTTCTGGTCAGCCACAGGCCAGACATTTTCACGCCACAGCCCTGTCCGGCGAGTGGATCTACTTATACGGAGGCCTGAGTCAAGTGCACGGAGTTTTGGGCGACTTTTGGCGGTTCCACACATCGGAACTCAATTGGAATAAATTGGAGACAATTGAAGAGCTGCCACCACTGGCCGCACATACACTCACAGCAACTGATAATAAACTCGTACTAATCGGTGGTTATTCTCCAGAGTATGGATTCCTCGAGAAGACATTAGAGTACAACATAATTGAAGATAAGTGGAGAGTTTTGAATACAAGTGGAGTACGACCTGTGGGTCTGTACGGCCACAGCGCTGTCTATCACTCCCAGTCCAACACTATTTATGTGTTCGGAGGTGTTATCTATGATATGGACAAGACATCAATATCTGGAGATCTGTATGGGTTTGATGTGAACAATAGTGTTTGGTATCGATTGCCAGCCGATGAACAGATAAACCCAATCGACACTCGACCAGAGGCCCGTTATTTCCATTCCTCGCTGTCCACCGAACTCTATATGATTATAATCGGCGGTCGAAACAATGACAGCAATACTATCGTCGACTCGATTTACACGTATATCTATCGCTGCAATAAATGGATTTCACTCGAAATGGACTCCATTTCAGTCAGCGGTCAACCGCCCGAACCCGCGGTCGCCCTCTCGGCCACAATACAAGACTATAATCTCTATATCTTCGGCGGAACTAATGGGCAAACAAATGGCAATTTGTATCGACTCTCTCTTCCCAAAGATTTGTGTCAACTCTTCTCGCACTCAAGACTCGGATGTCTGCGACATATCGGATGTTCTTATTGTTCTGTTTATGAGAACGGATTAAACAAAACCTTTTGTTACTCACAAGACTTGTCGATACCTCAGAGCTGTTACAACCCAAAGGGCGCCTCAGAAGTGGCTCAAGGAATGAGTTGTGGCTATGAATTGCTTGAGCGCCGCAATTGCTATCAATACAAGACATGTGTTGATTGTGTGGCCGTTTGGCCCAACTATGGGTCCGGCAAACAGGTGTGTCAGTGGTGTTCCAACTGTCAAAACGGGCGGTGCATTCCCATTGGCGCCTCCTGTGAAAGAGAACCCCTTTGCACACTTCAGCCAAGAATCGTGACAACCGGCCACATGTGCCCATTGCGCTCATGTCTGGCCAGTGATTGTCATAAGTGTTCATCCATTGGAGGCTGTATGTGGACGAGACAAGTGTTGCGCTCAGAGTTGGGCCGTACGTTGAATGTCAAACCCATATTTGACTGGACGTGCGTTCAGAATATACCACAAGACGTGACTACCATTTTCGTCGAGTCTATGCCTCCCCTCTCATGTCCGGCCCGTTGCTCGCGATTCGCGAATTGCAGCACTTGTTTGGAGAGTGCCGGCGGAGAGGGCGGTCATCACTCGTGTTCTTGGGCTCAAAACATCAATCAATGTATTTCTCCCAGTTTTGTGCCACTCAGGTGTGAGGCCGGTCTGTGCGGTAGTCTTGTACTGAGTGGCTCCACATCTCAGTGCCCTTCCGCTTGTCATGAGTTCACGCAGTCATCTCATTGTCTGTCGCGTCCCCACTGCGGGTGGTGTGCCTTCAATGGGTCAGCAGTTGATGGCAGAGGTGTTTGTATGGAGGGGCAACTGTTTGGGCCCATGGGAGGCAATTGTAAGCCGGGAAAAGTGGAAGTATTAAACCCTCCAATGACTGAATGGATGGCCAAACAGGTCTCCAAATGGTTGGCACAATCAGAAGGACCCCCGCAATGGGCGTATTTAGAGAGACCTAAAGGTAAGGCTTTGGAGACTCCGCTTATTATTTGAATTGTTGTTACAATAATTGAATTGTATTTAAAATAATTGTAAACCAGAGAACGAATGTCTTAACGGACACCACAATTGCGATGAGAGACACGAGGAGTGTATTGATTTGGAGGACGGCTTTATGTGCAGATGTAAACCCGGATACGTTATAGAAGGCAATCAGTGTCGGGCGACGTGTCATCAGGGATGTGTATTCGGCACATGTGTTGCACCCGATGTCTGTCAATGCAATTTCGGTTGGTTTACTCATTCATTTTGATTACAATTAAGTAAACATTGATTTATATTGAATTCAGGTTATGTGGGGTCCAACTGTTCGCTGGCGTGTGAGTGCAACGGACACAGCAATTGTGCCGGAGTTAACCGATTGGGTGATTGTCTCGAGTGCCAGAACCACACACAGGGATCTCAGTGTCAAAAGTGTAAACCATTTTTCGTGGGAAATCCTATCAACTCTGGGAAATGCATTCCATGCAAGACTTATTGCAATAATCATTCGGAAGTCTGTTTGGATCGCGAACTGTACGACAGACTCAGGAATTTTTCGGGACTTTTGGAAGCAATCACTTCTCAGGAGGACATCGAGAAGATAACGGGACACGCCTTAGACGAGGGGCCCGCCTCTGGAGCCGTTTGTATCAACTGTAAGCACAACACGAGAGGAACCGAATGTGACTCTTGTGTCGACGGCTTCTTCCAAAACAATGCCGAAAGGATAGGAGAGGGCTGTCGGCGCTGTCACTGCAACGGACACTCAGACACCTGTAATAAAGTGAATGGAGAGGACTGTCAGTGCGATAACAGTACAGAAACCGACAGACAGTGCTCTCAGAATAACAGCAAGAACTCGATGACTCCGTGTTGGCAAATGCAGTGCTCAAAGTGCAAGGAATACTTTTTAGGTGTTCCCACAAACGGCCACCAATGCTATCGACACATGTTTTTAGATAAAGACTATTGTTTTGATCCAAAAACACAGGAAGAATGCATTCGAAAGCCATCAGGACTTCCATCGGGCAGAACTGTGTTCTTTGCAGTTCAGCCGCGGTATATGAATGTCGACATCAGAATCTTCGTCGACGTCACCAAAGGAGCCATTGATTTGTTTTTGTCTGCAAAAGAGGACACATTCATAGTGGAAGTGAACAAAACAAATGGCATTCATTGGATTTGGTTGGACAAGAAGTACTCCTCACACATCGCATTCGGCAACACTTACGACGATTTGGACAGTCTTTCACTGAAACAGTCGTTTCTGATGAACGACTCGTTGAGAATGAGTTCATCGAAAGCGCAGGCGAGCGGACCGGTACTCAAACTGCGCCACTCGTCGGCCAATGATCTCATTTACTACTTAACGATCACCGATCCGAACGAATTTCTCGTCATTAGAAACTTAAGGAACCGTTTAGTGATAACAATACCTCAAGAAGTTCACGACCTGAGGAGTACTCGTTTTTATATGATTTTGAAAGGCATTCAAAGTCCGTCGCAAACGGTGGCGCCGAGTAATGGCAGCGATAATAACAGTTACGGCAATATCTTCTTCCGTCAGGACCAGAGTCGCATCGATTTGTTTGTCTTTTTCAGTGTCTTCTTCTCCTGCTTTTTCCTATTCCTCTGCGTCTGTGTAATGGTTTGGAAGATAAAGCAGGCCTTCGATATGAGACGCGCCCGACGGCTGCACGTGGCGGAGATGAAGCACATGGCCTCCCGACCCTTCGCCACTATACTCCTCCATATGGACGGCTCGGGCGCCACCGCCGACGACGTGGAGTTCGCCCTCTCGTCGCCAACACATCTCCTCAAAGAAGGAAACGTCAGAAAATGCAAAGCATTTCGGTTTAGAGGAAGCATTTCGAGTGAGTGTTTGCCCACTAAATGGTCACATGATTTGAATGACAATACTCTTAACGTCTGTCACATTATTATTAGGTCTGAAAGACTCGCCCAAAGCTCAGGTACATCCGGAACCGTTCGACAAATACACGATACGTCCAGTGGCTGTCGAGCCGACCGCCGATGGCGTGTCTGCGGTGGTCACCACTCTGGTTCACCTGCCGGGCGGCAAAACAGCCCCCAATCGCATGTGTTTGGCCTCCACTCTGGTCTCGTTGCGGAACTCGCATCACATCCTCAGCCCTAACGTGAGTCACGGCAACAGTAATAACATCGGGAAAGTGGGGATCGGGGTCTGGAGGACAGCCGTCAGACGGCGGCCGCACTTCGCGTTCTAGTCTTCAGTTTTAACAACAATTTATTTATTAATTGATTTATAATTTAAACTGTGATATCATATTAGAAACCTTTTTCTGATTATTTTTTCATTATTAATCAGTTCCTCATTTAACGACTCATTTACTCATTCAATGAATTTTATTTTCATCTTTAATTCTAACGAAACAAACGATAAATCATAACGAATACCAAAAACACGTTATTTTATATTAACTTTAAATATATTTAAATAAAAGTTCATAACATTTGATGACTTATTTACAAAACCAGTTGTCGTTATAGTTGTCATTATTTACTTGGAGTTTATCTTAAACTCTTGAGTTGTCGAAAGACCTCTTACTTGTTAGGCTCATAAGAAGTGGACACACCTAACGAGTGGACACACCTAACGAGTGGACACACCTAACGAGTGGACACACCTAACGAGTGGACACACCTAACGAGACGGTCTTGAACAGCACCTCAGCGCCCAACTCATTGGCTGACGACACAGACTCCTCGCCTCGAGTCTGAGTCTCTCATATGTAGTTCCCGAAGACAACACCCAAAGTGGTTGTGGATCCGCTACCAGTGTGACCCCTGCGTCCACTGTCACGGAGAGTGAGCCATCAATTTGGAGTGGGAGGCAGTCGTGGGGAAGGACTGGTGTTTCAAACAGTAGCCATTTGTGGTGCATATCGTGCGGTGATCACTGTTTCTGTGGATTGGCAGGTCTTCAGGCCACTGATGGGCGGAGGTGTAGAAGCGGACGTCTTGGGAAGGCGTGTGTACCGTCTCATCGGTGGCCAACACATCAGTCGCCGTCTAAAGCGACTATCCGTTTGGACAACTGGTCGTCACGTCTTGAGGGCTGCGGTAGACCTCAAAGGAGTGGTTGTGTTGTCAATGGATTGGTTGTGATGTCTGTGTTGGCGATGGACTCACTGTCTGTCGGCGACGTCATAAAGAGCGCCAGTAGTAGTGACTGGTCTTCGCATTGGAGACTCAGTTGTCGTCCAATCCATCGGATGAGTGTCTGTCGACTGAGTGTCGGTGCGAGCCGTGAGTGAGTGAGACATCTGTTCGGCGTTCCTTTGAATCCGT